GGAGACAGGGACAGGGATTTGGGGTTCTTACACTTCCCAAGGAGCGATCCAAGGAGCCCAGGACTTCATTCCAGTGACTGTAAAGCCCAGCCTGTTTTTCCTCCAGCTTCAGAGCATGAATTTCAGATTTCAGTTCTTTCAGCCGATCTTCGAATTTCCTGCTGTTTTCTAAGTAGTCCAGCCTGAGCCCACACATTGGAGGCAAAAGGTTTAGGGTGGCACAATTCAGTCAAGAACAGGTGTTTGTGGAAGGAGGAGAGTTGGTTTTTGTTTCCTTTTATGTTTTATAAGTAAAATGAACTCTGGCAATGCCAGCCTAGCTCCCCTGACCTTGTCACAAGTTCAATTCCTTCCTTTTTGCTTCCTAACTTTGCACCAAGTATTTCCTCCCAGACTTAGGGATGGCTGATGGATCAGCCCCCAGCAATTCCACCCTTTTAGCACTAGAGGGAAACTTCTACATGCTGTTAGTTCAGCAAGGTGCTTTGTCCCTCCCCAAGACAGAAGGTTCTGGATTTATTTATGGCTTGATGCCACCAAAAAACCCTTCCTCTGTGTGAAAAGCCAGCGTGACACAGACATCAGCTCAGTAAAAGGCCTCCAGCCACATGCACATCCCAAATTATTTTTAAATTATCTGATTTCCAAAGGTTTCATTGCCTTTCTCATCCATTTGCACCACAGGCATGCTGATACCTCTCTCTCTCTATCTCAAAGGAGAGTCTCTTGAGGTCGATGTCCTTCAAATCCAGCTTGATGGAGCCCTTGTCAAAGTTGGCATCTCTGCTGTCACCTGGGGAGTACTGGGGGTACTTGGCCATGTGCTGGAAGAGGCAACACAAGCACTGTCAGTCAGATCTGATGGATTTGGGATTTCTCCCCTCAGTTTTTCAAGAGTGCCATGTTGAGCTATTTTCTGAGACACAAGGATGTTCCTGCAGCCCTTCCCTTGCACCCAGCTGAAGTCTACAACCCACAGATGCAAGAGCAGAGATTTATTATCCTGGCTGCAGTGCTTCTATTTCAGCAGAGAATGGAAGCCCAGCCTCAGCAGGGCTGGAGCACAAGAGGGAGCTGGGGCACAGACCTTCAGCAGTGCCTTCCTGCAGGGGACAACTTCACCTGCTTTGCCTGAACACAGATGGACGTGCCGGGATGACACAGCTGGCTCAGCACAACCCTGTCCACAAAAACTGCCTGGCTGAGTGGCACCACGAGTTAGGCATGAAGGCAAGACAGCCTCTGCTCCCCAAGTGCATCACCAGTTCTGGTTTTAACTCTTGCCTTGCCTTTCTGACCACCCCGAACAAACCCAGCTCCCACCCTTGCTAAACTGCCTTTTCCACACCAGTTTGTCCCCCAGCTGGATGCAGCCATGCCACTACTCAGCTTGATGGGGGCTATAAAAATGCCATCAACACCTGACTGTCCCTGAGGATGAAGTGGTGCCCAGTGGAGCAGAACTTACAGGATAATTAAGCCTGGTTATGTCTGAGAGCTTCTGCTTGGCTTTGCGTTCGGCCTCGCGGGCTTCGTGCAGGTCTTGCTTCAGGTGCTCTGCTTCCTTGGCTCTGCAAGAGAAACACCCTGAGGGCAATTCTGATGGTTTCCAACCAACACAGGATTTCAGGGCTCACTACCTCCCAGAGAAGTCCATTACTGTGTTATCTTTACACCAAGGCACTCATGGGAGGATGCTCCTGACTGGGCACAGCAGGACAGACACACCCCTGCACAGAGTGGCTGAATTACCATGATTTTCCTACTCCTAATTTCCATGGGTTCACTTAAAACCTGCTGATACAGATTCTCTCCAGGCCATCAGATCCTCCCTGAGGTGGGCAGAGGTTGCTCTTTATTTTGGCAAGCTTCCTAAAACAAGTAGAAGGATTCCTTAACAACAGGGTTAAAAATCCTCTGTCAACTCTGGCCTGCTCTGCACGTTCAGGGAACATGCAAACACTCAGAGTTGTTTATATTCCAGGAGTTTACCTGGCTTTACACTTCCTAAAGATCTGAAAGGGAAACAAGAGACCATTCACTTGGTACTAATGAATGAAAACAGCCTCGTATCTCACAGGGTATAAGGGGTAAATTTAGATAGGCAGCCAGTGCTTATTTGATAACACTGAATAGGAAGATGCTTATTTGATAACACTGAATAGAAAGATCTGGATCTTTCTTGCTAAACATTCTCTTTCTTGCTAAACATCTCTTTCCTGCTAAACATTCTTGCCAAACATTCTCTTTCTTGCCAAACAAGCTTTGCATCCGATCCTCTGTAAACTTGCCCTGCAATACAACAACAGCATCCAGGTGGAACACACACAGCCCAAGGAGGCTCAGTCCCTCTCAAGTGTCACTTCAGGAGTAATTCCCCTCTCCTGGGCTGGGCTCCGGGGACAAGCAGCACTCCCTGCAGCCCAGCCGGGAGCGCACAGAGCCGGGGAAGCAAACCCCACCTCCTGTCCGACTCCTTCACCAGCTTCACGGCGATCAGCTCCGCCTCCCGCATCTTCTGCTCCATCAGCCGCTTCTCCTCCTTGCTCTTCAGGGCTGTGATCTCCAGCCTCTGGCGCTCCTGCTCGGCCTCTGCAGCGTTCTGGGCCAGCAGCTTGGCCTCTTCCTCTGCAATCTGGGCTTTCTCAGCCAGCAGCTCTGCTGCTTCCTGGGATCGCAGCTGGGGAGAAAGAATTTTTCTTAATTTTTTCT